GGTTAATATTCATTCTATAAGATATAAAACAGATGCATTATTTTTGTTTCTAGAGGAATTAAGATTTTCCCCGATAGTTGCGGTTACACTTGCACTTTTGTACTTGCACTTTTCAGCCAAGAATATGCATTCACTACTATACATCAAGAAATTTATCACCAACGTCTTTGTCACTGAATATATTACCAAGTATAAGGAAACCTATTTAAAACTTATCAAAACAATCAAAAATGCGTACTATCAAAATCGTCTGGTTAGCTCTAGAAGCGTTGCAAAAGAAACTTGGTCCATAATAAACGATCTTCGAAATAAAACTAACACAGCTCAAACATTTTAGCCTGCAAATTTAAATTATTACTTCGTTAATGTGAACAAAAATATAACATCAACTATTTTACCACAACATGGTCTTTTTCTCCCCAATTCTAAGAAGGTCTCGATAAGACCAGTTGATAAATCTGAACTGATCCAAACAATCAATACTATCGAAAAAATCCAAACAATCAATACTATCAAAAGCAAATCTTCCTGTAGTACTGATGGTATCCATAAAAATTTTCTCCAATCTCCCAAAAAATGTGTTGGTAGTCCTGGTCTCACTAATTAATGATTTCTTTAAAAAAGGTTAATTTAAAATACCTAAAGACAGCTATTATCATTTCTTTTCATAAGGGTAGTAAACGATCTAATGCTTGCAATTACGGGTACTATTGCCTTACTACCGGTACCAGTACCGGTACTATCCAAAATTATTGAGCAACTTATAAAAGCCCGACTTATATCCTTTCTCGTTAAAAACATTTTATCGCAAAATCAGTTCGGCTTTTTATCTAATAAATGCACCAGTGATGCTATGTTTTCTGTATTACATGAGGTTTACCAAGCACTAAACAATAATCTTTACCTAGGGGACAAAAAAAAATCGGGAAAACCTGTCTTAACCGTATCGACGAGGTTTAAGAAGATCTGTGAAGTCAGGGAACCAGACGATGACAAACAGTGACTGAGGATGGATTTGATTAAAGATAGATGGTTAGTCACGTTACGTCACGTCCGTCACGGGCTGTAGCGCTGCGGAATCTTGTAATACTGTTTTAACTATATCATCAGTTACCATGACCCACAGGCACTTTTCTTCTTTGTTTTTCTGAACTTTTCAGTTATCACGTTAGTAAAACATGGTATAAAACTCATGCCTAAAACTTTCAAAGGCTTAGAATCATATTAAATACATAGAAACCACATTAGTGAGAATTTAATTTAAATATCTAAGTTGTAAACAACTAATCAAATTTTATTTTAGTTGTAATGACCAGCAACCATTTGTTCTGCGTTATTAATTTTTATTGTGTTTTTGAAACAGTCTAGTTTAAAAAAAGAAGCTATAAACCTAGAGAGTTAGTCTAGTTTTTGTAATATTTATATCAGCCGGTTATTGTTTTGAAATAAAATAGCATAATCTTAGTAATGTGTAATTCTATTTTATGTGCAGATTTATAATATTAACAAGAAAATATCGGACTTTTATAAACTATTAATTTTCTCCTTTCTCTTTAATTAATTAATATTTAATATGTCGCATCATATCAAATCTACAATTAAATCTAAGAGTCGTAAAATTATCGCAGATTGGTATTGCATAAACTCATACCAGTACAATACATCTAGTAAAACTTAGGAAATAGGTGTTGGAAGTTATCTACGGGGTATAAAACGGGTATAACACTCATTGATATGCAAGAAAAGCCCAATGATATTCACGGGGAAGAATAAAAAATATACCATTTAACCAAGCAAATGCTGGAACAGAATTTGTGTAGGAAAACCCCAATTGTTCAATATCTCAGTTGTTCTTCGCATTTTTTTAGAATATTTGGTAAAATTTTTTTTACTAAGGTTATCAGCATCGTAATAACAATGTAACTATTAACTTTCACATACAGTGTGGAAATCACTCATAGAATAAAACTGTTTGTGTCCTTATTTTTATCGATGCAAAAAACCCATAAGTGGCTATAAAGCGGGGCATTCACGATACGATTTGTATCCTTAAGTCCCACTTAAGGACTACTAATAGGATAGTCGGCTCCGCTCACGCTCCGACTTCCTATCAAACTAACGCTCCAACTTCAGTCCTAGCCTCTTTTCACGGTGGTGTACATCGGTCGACCAAATAATGTACTGAGTAAAGTCTATGCAAAGTATAATTAGGAGAGAAGTGGCAGCAGCATTGTGTTTGTTAGGCTTATCATTTAAAAAACAGGAAAAAAAAATGCTGGATAAACAAATTATATTTTCATTGATTGAGTGAACTATTATGACACAAAGTTGCTTAATGTCATTTAAGAGGATGATTACAGAAACTACCGCAGAACATTATGTTGGCAGTGTTTTCGTACTTCAACATCACATTCAGCAGATGTTGTCGGGTTGTTTTCTGCTCATTTTGGTTCGCGTATAGAGCACTACTAATTTTTCACAAACATATAGTATTTCTATAAATATCAATAAATTCAGATATTGCTTTGAAAGTACGCCTTAATAGTTCCACTGTATTTGGTTATTTCCTGCCAAATAGGCCTTACTCAATGTTTAAGCCATTCTCGTGTAACTATTAAGTCATTATCTATCTTTTGACTCTTTTTAAAGTTTTCCAGGAAAGTCTAATCATTACTGTGTGACTGTGGTTACCTGAAGACTACTTCTTCTTTGGTTATTTTATCTTCAAGTCTTTTATAGTACTGGCATTGTTGTTCCAAACAGGGTCGCCTAGAAAGAATATCGGCATTGTTATGGAGACGCCTTTTTCCATGTACTACGTCGTTATACTATTGGTGTCTCTATATCCACCGAGCCAATTGTCCTTATGTCTTTTTAAAATTCATTAGCCACTGCAAACCACTACGGTGAGTTCTAATTATACAATTTCTGTTGCAAAAGAAAGGATAAAAATGTTCTAGGGGTTTTATAATAGCTAGGTACTCTTTTCTGATAACGCAATAATTATTTTTAGCCTTATTTATTCTTTTACTCTAATATGCAATGACTTTTTCTTAGCCTTCCAGTTCTTGGGATAATACGGGCTAATATGCATCACGATCCAACAGAAATTTACCATCTTGTCGTAGATAGACTATGATAGTTGCTGTTGTAAGTCGTTTTTTTAAATCCATAAAGGCATTTTGACAATCCGGTGTCCAGTCAAATTCAATAATGCTTTCGATTAGTGGATAAAGGGGCTAAAATCTTCTGTGGATCAGTTTTAACCCATTAAAGCCCAGAATAACTTTTCTTTTATAAATTTTACTGCAATTCTTATTACAAGTCTCTTTGACCTAAAGTTTGTTTAGTGCAATACCTACCATCCAAGCAAATATGGGCCAGTACCACTTCTTTCTCCTAACACCTATTTTGTAGTTTGCCACATATTGATCCTAAAGATGAGTTTGGCCCATATTTTCGTTGTACTTAGATATACAATTTGAACGGTTTATCATAACGTGACGATGTTGCTGCATGTAGTATCTCTTTACTAACGAAGTTGGTAAAACACCTGCAGACGTTGAAGCAACAGTCACCATTGAATTTCCATACATCGAACTAATAGTATTCCGTCCACTTTATGTGTTATATATGTTCTGAGGTACCCCTGGATTTTTTAGAAAATGATGCTTTATTTGTCAGTGGACATGTATTACCCAACCGATTATCATGAATTATTCCAATTGCAGAATATCCTAGATACTTCAGATAAGCAAACAAATTAGTAAACAAATTGTGAATATGAATGGCATAACGCAACTGTCTTTTATCATCTGGTAAATCTTTCAAAAAATGTACTAAAGGAGAAGAACATTTTCCAAAACGAGATTCATAAGATTTATTTCCACAAGAATTGTTCCCTGATATAAATCAAAATTGATCAGGTAGCCATCATTGATATTTAAACACCACATCTTGTTTTGGTTTGCCAAGGATAAATTGTTTACATCCGTGATGACGAAAATATTTTATCATGGCTTCATCATATGAAATATTTTTTATAGGCACAAAATTGTCCAAACACTTTTCATCTTCTTCTTTAAGTGCTATTTTCGCGACGAAGGTTGGCAATCATCATGGCTATTCTGACCTTCGGGGCAGCTGCTCTGAACAGACTTGAGCTGCAACCAAACTACTCTTCCAGGTTCTTCAACCAGGAAACGCGTCTTCTTCCTACGCTTCTCCTACCCTCTATGTTTCCTTGAATTATGAGTCTCAAGATGTTGAATGTTTCGATTCTCATTACATGTCCAAGATATTGCAATTTCCTTCCTTTTATTGTATTTTCCATTTTCCCTTCTCTGTCTATTCTCCTTAACACTTCTACATTTGTGACTCTATCTACACGTGAAACCCTTTACAATCTTCTAAACGTCCACATGTCAAACGCGTTAAGTCGATTTATTGTATTCCGATTTAATCTCCATGATTCAACTCCATAGTAGAGTACACTATGTACATAGCATTTAATTATGAATACATATTCTGAGGGCCAATGTCAGATCTTTGCTGCAAAAAATCTTTTTCATTTTCACGAACTTGGCACGTTTTCTTATATCAATATATTTTTAAATTTCATCAAATCTATTGCGACCCATAGCGTCGATCACAAGTGATCGTCTTTTATATCCCAGTAACGCCATTTTGATGGCACAGTGTTATATCCAGTAAGAATTAATATTTCAAAGGAAGATTTTAAATCTTTATATTTGGATTAGCTTGATTTTTAAATAAGGCATAGTTTCTTGTTCATTATATCATTATCAAAAAATCATTTAAACAATTCTGTACATGTCATACCTTCATACAAACTGTAGTCAGCTAAGAAAAAATCGGATACTTGTTCAACAAGATCGCCTTTTACCCATTTATTTTGTTGATAATTTTTTTCTATCCTTTTTCTTTTTTCTCTACCTCTCTGCAAATTGAGTAGTTTTTCTTTTTGAACTTTTTTGAACTTAACAATTACATTCAGACCTCAAAGGTTCCTGGAAAGGACCAGCAGAAGAATGTGTTGATTGTAGATTTACATCGTCATCACTAGCTTCAATATGGTTGTTATAGGTTAATTTTAGCCCAGCAACAGCTTGATATTGACGACCAGTTAAATGATTTATTATGAGGTTATCTATTTCAGCCCCTGAATCTTCATCAGTGTCAACATATGGATTAGGTGGCTCAATAAATATTGCTTCCAGTTCATTAGTGACATTTTCACTACCATTTATCATATCTAGAGCTTCCGATAATGAGAATCCACGGCTGTAAAAAAATATCATAAATTTTAAATTCTATGATAAACTCCCAAGTGATACCATATGGTATCACCGACATATTTGGTAAGATATTAGAAAAATGTCTCAATAAATTTAAATTTAACAGAAAGGATATAAACATTTGTTTTATTAACCATAGATTTTGTACAAAATATCGTTAAAATTTATCAAGTCCATTTTTTTGACCTACCTTCGATAGACCAAATATTTAAAAAATCACACTTACTCTTTAAATGTTACAAACGCACTGATGAGCGGTTAGTATGGTGTATTGGTCTGTTGTTTATAGCTAGGAGAGGGACCGAGACCATAAAATCGTTTCTAATAGGTTTCAATGACAAGAGAAGTCTGTTACCGTATGGTATCACTGGGAGCTAATGGGTTAATTCCTTCTACTGCAACGATATGTCTTAAACAGTATGCCTTTCTTTAAAATAGTGTACATTTCTTATAATTCAACTTTAAATTGGTATTTCTTAATCGTGTCAAATACCTCGCTTACGTTTTTCAGATGTTCATCAATGGTTTTGGACATAATCATTATATTATCAAGCTATACGAGACATGATTTCCATTTAGAAGTCCGGTATAAATAAAGGAGCTATTAGCCTTTAAGTAAAAAATTCTATTCACTTTTATTTAAAGTGTAAGTGCGAATTTGGGGGCTTTTATAACAGCAGGCTAAGATCTGTTTAATGACGAGAGAACAGAACCACAAATGAATATAGTAATTTTATTTGTCTTATTGGTAGACCTTTAACGTCGAATATTCACTTTCTTGAACGGCATATTAGGTGTCATAGTTATATTTAAACAGATAACTACCAAATTCATCTACCCTTATCCATTTAATGCCATCTCTAAATTGAACAGTCTGTCCAAGAAGATTCCGGTATACCTACTAGTTTTAGAGATAGGCTAATTCCTCAATGTTCATAAAATGGGGTTCCATATTTATATCCTGGTTTCCTTTGGTTGTTTGCAGTATTATCTGTCGATACTCATTTGGTAAGAATAAATTAGGCTGTTTTCGTAGATTCTTTTCGATGCGACCAAAGTCACGATCTGAGTCTAGGTAAGAGTGGTCCACCTTTGGAAATTTATGGTCTATAGTTTTGAAGCACCCTTTCAAAATCATGTCCTGGTACAGACAAATAATCTGGAAATTCTTATTTTCTCTGGCACAAGAGTCGGACCACACTTGCAGATGATTTTTTTCTCGAAGTGTTCTATTACTTTCAACCGCACTCAACAGTGAACTTGCAACTTCTATACTGACACGATTTGCTACGTCTTCTGACCAGGTAAAAAATAGGCCCCTGACTACGTTTTTTGAAATTACATGCAGGCCGAGATTGTAAAACTACATCTCTGTCTTTTATAAAAAGCTTTTGATGTGGACAAACGAGGCAATGGCATAGTCTGTTGCAGATCCATAGTGACATATGCAATATCGTTCAACACATTGGCACTTTCCCTGTCAGGTTTTTGGGCCTCAAATGCAGATTTATAAAAATCAATATGTTCTTCTGAACATTGTCCACTATCACATGTACTACATGTATCACTCTTAGGTTGTCCAATGAATAAATTAAACTCGTAATCATAAATAAATCTGTACATAGACTCTTTTACTAAGAATTCGTTTGAAACTTGGTCTAGTCTGCATTGTTCAATGTAAAGTTTGTACATTGTAGGTACAGACAACAACTCTGATAAGTATCTTTTGTTTGGATTGTTCTCTCTAGAATAATGAGACAACTCAGCAGGAAACAATATAACAGGTTCCATAACATATTTTTTTACATCTGGGTCAAGTTTAGTAGGCCTGTTGTTATGCTTGCCCCGTTTGTCTAACTCCGGCACTGACAAACCTTTTTATCTGGTTTAGGATAAAAAATACTTTCTTTCTGCCCATTTGGTACAATGACATTAGGGCTGATTTACAAATTGGCACATGAGTTCCATTTACTGTAATACTGTACCTTAAAGATGCAGTTTTATGTCTGTTTAAACCCTTACGTTTTCGCTGAGGTTTACTTATGGAAATTGATTTAAAAAGAATTACATTTTTCCCGTTAATATTATGTTTACATAAATATCAAAATTTTCAGCAAATGTAACATAACACCTTCACCTTCCAAGCCCTTCAATTGTATTAGGCATGGGATTGTGTATTTGTCTGATTAGAGAATTTATTGCAACTGGCTAAATAAAAAAAACTATATGCTTCAAAAAATCAAATACAAAATACAACTGTTCTCCTAACTGTCAAATACCTATGTTTATATACATTTTCTGATGTTTCAAACTTCACTAGACGTTTCAGTATTTTTTTAATGTCATCTTGAATATTCTAGAATTCGTCAATAATTGTTCTTTTTCGCCAAGAAAGACTAAAGGACAATAAAAGAAAAAACTAAAAGACGAATACCTAAAAAACCTAAGAGATTTGTATAGTTGCAGCTTAAAACAAATTTTTGAAGTTGTTTGAAAGGTAGAATGGCCATGATCATTACCAACCTCCGTAACAGGGATGGGCACTTAAAGATTGTGTAGCATAAAAATTCCAATCACAGCAAAAAGGAAATTCTATGAGGTCTACTACTATATCGTCGGTGACTTGGCAATATCTCCTATGTGACTTCACCTAAACTTTTCACGAGAGACAAAAAACTTTATAATTATATAATTTTAACATATTTTAATTATGAAAAAAGTTAATATTGAGTTGAATTTAGTTTTGTTAAGGTAGATAGGAGGTATTGCTTTAAGTAATGTTACTCATAGGAGATACTGATTTTTATTTAATGTGAACTTAGAAAATGTTGTTTATTAAAATTAAACATAAATGCCCTTTTATCCAAATAAAATTAAATATTTCTTTAAAATTAAACATTAATTAAATTAAACAGTTTTATTCATGGTAATATAAAACACAATATTAAAACTTTAAAAAACAACGAACAAAAAATATTTCATAAGTAGGTACATGTGTGTAAACGAACAAAATAAAAAGATCTATCCGTGTAAAAGGCCATCATAAAATAACTGCGAATCTTTTGGTAGGGTCGATTTTAGATCTTGTAAATGTTGTCATTTCTCCGTTTTTATTTTAGGAGGCGATAGAAATAAAGGTGGATAGTCCAGAATTGTTGGCAGTCTTTGGTATGATAGGGACCTGTAAGTATTTCTCTTTATGGTCAGTTTTTATTTCTATGGACCCAACTGGATCGCATTTGATACATTTTATATCAAGAATGGTTGGGTCATACGCTTTTCTTCCTGGTCGGATTAAGGAATATCGCACATGGTTGGAGAATGAATAGTCGTTAAAAAACGTATAGTGAAATATTTTGACTCTATATGGCTTAGTTCCTTTCCTTGCTTGAGCTGTAATGGAAGCATAGTCACTGGGTAAATGGATTTCCTTATTTTTAAGACTCCTATTAAGCATCCATCAGAATAAATAACTACTGGCGTTTTTGAATCGGTAACACAGTCCTCCTCTAAATAATGTATAATACAGGAAACAAATGTGGATGCTTTGAGCTGGTTATTTTCGTTTTCTGAAAACCAATAGCACATAACATCTCTAGTTTTTGAGTTGTAAACTGTGAAGTTAGGGCAGGACGATTTGGTTTTAAAGTACATTTTGTTCGCTGGTATATATGGGCACAATTTTATGGCTTTTAGGTCCATTGTTAGTGCTATTATTTCATATTTTTCACTTATGGCTTTATTCAAAGTTCTAGCTTCTCTGGCGTCTTCCTTTCTCTTTATATGAGCTCTATATTCTTCTTCAGTCGTATTCTTATATTTAAATGCAAAACAAATATTACATAGGTCTTTTTTCGGTGTATATAAAGCAAAATTATTCTCCTTTAATCGTTTTGGGAATACGTTGCGACCTAAAGGAGTTAGATTATTTTCTTGACAAAAACTGTTTACGTAAACACCATATAAATCTGACATACTGTTAAAAGAATATTTTAAATACAATTTTTTTGTTTCGCTACGACAATAGTGTGAAGGAAGTTTAGGTAAACTCTCAAAAAATTGTTCCAAGTATGTATGACTTTCTGTATACCTAGTCTTTACCATTTTCTTGGTAGAAACATGTAATACTTCGTCAGTCATACCGCAAGAACTATTATCCACCCGATAATGAATGGTTTTATAACCTATATCTAATGTATATGTGAACATGATACGACATACTCGTAAGTTTTCGTTCCCGTCATGTAAGTAGTAAGTGTACGTACCTTGTCTTCTAGAATTTTCCTTGTTTGATTTAAATGTTGGAGTTTTAATTACATGAGATGCTACAAAGACCTTACGTTGATCTCAAGTCCTACCCCAAAAGTTCTTAAATATATGATTTCTGCACTGTTCTGTTAATTCCCTGCAATATCTTAATTTGGAATTTCGACATTTTACTGACGTACACGCCTCTTTTAAAGATTTTGCTTTTCTTGGTATATCTTGCTTAATCTTACCGGATTTTTTACTAAACCCCATGTATACTTTACCTTTTATTCAAAGTTTTTTGTTTCTGTATTGTCTCCATTAATTTTTATTCAGACCAAGCTTCTTTATTTCTTCATGATAACTTTATTATTACTAGTTGTGTTCATCAGATTTCTTTCAATATTATTGTTTATCCTAGTATTAGAACTTTCTTGAACATTACTGGTATTTGTAATTTCATTAGTCTCGTCTTCGTCACTAAAACATTCAAATGGCACACGAGATACGACCCTTTTATTTTGTTCAATTGGCAATAGTATTTGTTTACTTGTGAAATTATCTAACACGAGGTTTACAGAATTATTGGTATCACAACGGCTATTATTAAAAAAATGCATTTCTTTAGGTACACTTGATATAACATAATTATTATTATCCGCTAAACGATCTACTTCATTAAAATCTTTTAAGCAATCTTCAAAGCAATCGTCAAAGTCTTTTTCCTCCGTACAATTTTGCATTACTGTAAGCGTAGTAATAGTATGATTATCTTCAGGCAGAGGTTTTTCTATATTTAGGTTTTCCCATGCGTCGATTTCATCAGAGTTTGTCAGTTGGTTTACTAGTAGAGAGTCTATTTGGTCGCTTCTATTTACAACCAAGTTTTCGTTAGGCATTGCAAGCATACGCAAAGTTCTCTTCGACATGATTACTATACAATACTTAAGACACACAAATTCTCCTATCAGTTAATCGCTGTTTGTTGCCTACTTGCAAATTCTCCTATCTGAAAGAAATTATAAAAACTAGATTTTCGTCTATTTTTATCGTTTTAGTTGAGAACTAAAACCTTAAGAAAACAATAGACGACATTAAAGACAATTTTATGAAGAACGAAGAAGGTAAGAATAAGACATGGATGACGACAGAGATTCTGCAACTAATGGAAGAAAGAAGGAAAAACAAGAACGATAACTCCATATATAAAACATTACAGCGAGAGATACAGAGAAAGATCAGAGAAGCCAAACAGAAAGAACTGGAGAAAAAATGCCAAGAAATCGAAATTCTCCAAAGTAAATACGACGACTTCAACGTGCATAAGAAGGTAAAGGAAATTACAGGTAAATGTAAAAACAGAAGAGTAAGTAAACTTGTTAATGACAATGGAGAGATAATCGTGGACAAAGAGAGTATCAATGATACCTGGAAAAATTACATAAGAAGTTTATTTTTTGATGAGAGAGAGAACCAGCCCCCAATACCTACGGAAACAGGACCACCTATACTAGTGGCAGAAATAAGAGCAGCCATAATATCACTAAAAGAAGGTAGAGCTCCAGGACCAGACGGAGTACAATCTGAATTTCTTAAACTTCTTGATGATGAATCTTTAAGAGTACTATGTAAAATCTTCAATAATATCTATGACACAGGCAATATCCCAAAAGATTGGCTACTTTCAGAATTTATTACCTTACCAAAGAAACAGGGAGCAAAAAAGTGCGGAGAATATAGACTAATAAGTCTAATAAGCCATACATTAAAACTTTTTCTTAAAATTATACATCGTAGAATATACAAGCTATGCGAAGAGAGAATACAAGACACACAGTTTGGATTCATGAAAGGCGTAGGTACAAGAGATGCACTGTTTAGTCTACAAGTATTATTTCAAAGATGCAGAGATATGACTTGCGATATTTACACCTGCTTTGTGGACTACCAAAAAGCATTTGATACAGTTCAACACCAAAAAATGATGGATATTCTAAGAAAAGCCCAAATGGATGGTAAAGATCGGCGTATAATACAAAATTTATACTGGAACCAATCAGCCACAATAAGAACGAATTTTGAAGGTGAACCAACGGAAATGATCCAGATTCTACGAGGCGTTAGACAAGGTTGTATACTTTCACCTATATTATTTAATCTATATTCAGAGGAAATATTTAGTGAAGCCTTGGAAAAATGCGAACATGGAATACTTCTAAATGGAGAACGCCTAAACAACATCCGATATGCAGACGACACCGTTATTTTTGCAGACAGTTTGAACAGTTTACAGCAACTAATAAACAAAGTAAATGAAGTAAGTGAAAGATTTGGACTTCAAGTAAATATAACAAAAACTAAATTTATGATCATCAGCAAAAATAAAGTTAGAGACGCTCAACTACTTATCAATAATACACCAGTGGACCGAGTAAAACAGTATAACTATCTTGGAACAACAGTAAATGAACAATGGGATCACTCACAGGAAATAAAATGTAGAATAGAGAAGGCTAGGAGTGCATTCAATAACATGGCCAAACTCTTTAAAAGCCACAATCTTAATCTGGAGATAAAAGTAAGGCTCCTACGATGTTATATCTTCTCAATATTGTATTACGGAGTTGAATCCTGGACACTAACTGAAGCAATGGAGAAAAAACTTGAATCCTTCGAGATGTGGCTATACAGGCGAATTCTAAGGATATCATGGACAGACAAGATAACCAACGAGACTGTATTACGAAGAGTGGGCAAAGAAAGAGAGGTGATGTATACCATTAAAAGGAGAAAGTTGGAATATTTCGGACATATAATGAGAAACAGCACTAAATACAGATTACTGAAGGTAATCCTACAGGGTAAAGTATTCGGAAAGCGAGGAATTGGGAGAAGGAGAATATCATGGTTGAAGAACCTGAGGAAATGGTTCTCCACAACAACAACGAATTTATTTAAAGCAGCAGTTAATAAAATAATTATAGCCAGAATGATTGCCAATATTCGGAACGAATAGGCACTGAAAGAAGAAGAAGTTGAGAACCTTATTACTTTAAATTTTATAATCATTATAATCACATAATATAACCATTAATATGTACATAATATCTTGTGAAACTTACCAGAAATATCGTATTTCGTTGAAAAACAACTCACAGTCTACTAGCATTCAGTATCCTATGTTTACAGCATACAAACTGACAAGATAAGACATGTTGCATATAGTTTACCGCGTGAATTTAGATAGGAGAAATTACAAGTAGCGTTTTTATTATATTTAGACATTTTTCTCGCTCATAGGACTTCTACGAACGAATCTTTGGTGTAAGCAGATTCCGAATTCATCGATAACTCATTTTCATAAAAAATGCAGATAGGAGAAATTGCCAGGTCACCAACGATATATGTTTTTGAGTTCCAATACAAAGAATACTATAATTTTTGTCCAGGTGGAACACATCTGTAAAGGAAATTAATTATTAAAATTGCTAAAAATAGGAACTAGGTATATCTTATACGTAAACATAGGAACAAAAACGAGATTTAGTCTAAAGTAGACAATAAATAAATGTACAATTTTCCAAAAAAATAAATCCCAATGACCTATAAAAATCAAGCAAACGAGGTGCTCCATAATAAAAGTTTGGTTTTAAAATTTATGATGCGCATTAAAAGCTACCGTTACAGATATATAAACACACTGTTTACCTAAAATATACGAATAATAAAACGGAAAACTTTATTAATAGTAGTAATAAAATTTAATTTTCAACACATGTGTCTGAAAGATCTAAACTATGATAAACACTGCATAACAATGAGATATACTGTCTATTCTGTTTTTAATTAAAAAAATGGTTCGTTACATGAGATGTAGAACATCAGCACATACAAATTCAGTCACACAAGGTTATAAAGAACAATAAAAAATGAAATGTTTATGTAAATTCGTAGAAAATTCGAAAAAATTAGTCAAAAATTCTCTTTTTCTTCCTCATTCAAGAGTTTACCAATCTGTTGCCTGTTTCATCCATTATTTAAACTTTGCTTTGTCTTTTTAAGCGGAGTCACACATTTATTCTTTCTTTTGATTTTTAATTTAGTATTTTAGTTCATTCTTCAGATTATTTTCAGTTATTTACGATTATAATCAGGGCATAAGTGACCAACAAGTAATTTTAATATATCCTAAATTACTAAAGTTTACTGAAATCAAGAATTTACCCTATGGTATTCTCTTAATCTAATTTGATAAATAACGCCATAATGTTAACATTTACCTCACGCATAAGCACCATGCTCTACTTTTTCACTGACACTTAAACTAACTCCTCTTCAGTCTTGTAGTTAGCCCTGTATTGCCGAGAAGCTGGATTGCTTCAACATTTACATGGCTATGGTCGTTTTTCATGATTTTCAACCGCCCTTTTGAAAATTGTAGCCACACAGTTTCCATACCCAGGTCCTTATGGAGGTCGCTGTTCCTCCTAAATGAAGGAACATTCATAACATTTCTCAGGGCTTTATTCTAAAATTTCTGGATTATTTCTATATGACTTTTCTTGGCACACCCCCAGATTTGGCTACCATAAGTTCAAATAGGTCGTAGTATTTGTCTATAAAGAAAAAGTTTGTTGTATATAGATAGAGAGGACTTTCTTCCAAGCATTCAATACATTTTTTTGTATCTTATGTAAACTTCTTTCCTTTTTTTTTAACATGAACTGCTGCTTAATTGTGCATCTAATGTTATACCTATGCATTTTTCCGCATTTCCATAGGGTACTTAGTTATTATTTATACATTTAGTATATTTTGTATCTTTTTCTTAGTAAAGTTAACATTGAACAGATTTATTTCGTTCCTAATTTTCCATTTTTTTGTCCAGAAATCCAACATGCAACATCAAGAAATATATAACAACAAACCCTCTTTTCTTCTAATAATTTTTCAAGGATATA